GACGGGAGGCGTTTTCGTAGTTTCGGCCTCCAGGGGCCTTGAAACCAGCCCCGTGGAATGGGTCGAGACCTCTGGGGGTCGACGTAATGAAAAATCATGATGTCGGGGATCTGGGGGTGGGGACGAGGGTGATCTAGGCCTCCCAGAGGGGTCAGAGCAGATGGTCGGAGGATCGTGCCGCATCGCCAATGCATTGGCGATGCGGGAGGACCCCGCCTCTCGCCGCAGAGAAATCATTGCGGGAGGTTTCTGGCTGTTTTTTCGGCGTTCGGGGGCCCTCACAAGGGTCCGGGGCCGTCGAGAGACGGCCCTGGACGAGAAGCCAGTCCTTGGGACTTGGTCGAGACCTCCCGGGGTCCTCGCTGTGGCCAAGCCCTGGCGTCGGAGTTCTGGGGCGGCACGGGGGCGGAGGGAGGAGGGATGGGGGCAGAAGGGAGGCAGGAGCATCGGGGGAGGAAGAGATACTGGTACGGCCAGGCTTCCCTCGTGGCAACGGCTGGATTCGCCTCGAAGGCCGGCTTCTCGGCCCGAGCCGTTTTCTGCCTGCCCCTGGAGACCGCCGAGGGCCCCAGGGGGCCGCGGACGGACCAGAGACGTCCGTCGTGACTCTTCCCACAGCGAGAGGAAGAGGGGGAGGAGGCGAGGGACAGCGCGAGCACGGCGAAGTTGAGGAACGAGGTCGAGGAACAAGAGAGCGGCATGAACACAGACCGTCGGAGGTCTGCGCGGGCCTCGGGGAGCTATATATATATATATATATATATATATATATTATATATATATATATATATATATATCTGTGTGTGTGTGTGTGTGTGTGTGTCTGTGTGTGTGTGTGTGTGTGCATGCCGCCGCTCTGCTCCAGTGGCGAGGGGGGGCAGGCGGGGAGGTCGGCTGCGCGAAGGAGTGACCTCTCGCCACGGCGCCCTCGGGTGCGGGCCCACGGGGGCTGCCCCAGCACCAGCCTGCGCGCTTGGATCTCGCCCCCACGCTGCCCTCCCACAGCCGCGAGCTCACGGCCGCTCGTGCCATTGGGACCTGGCATCGCTCGGACGTGTGCATTTTTCCTTCGGCGAGGACCATCGAGGAGCATCCTTGATCATTTGGCGAAAAAGCCACGCACGAAACCGAATAAGACACAGGAAATGGACGTCCGAGCGATGGCCAGAGGGACGCTTCCGCGCGGGCGGCGAAGTGTAGACGCATCCGCTGCTCCCTGGCCAGGCCAGGCTGGTCCCGAGCCCAGGATGCGCCCTCCTGGCCAAGCCCGGCGGGCGTGGCGTACGCGCCGCAGCCGGGCTGAGGACGGGCCCGGCCAGGGAGCACTGGATGCGCACAGCTCTCGTCGCCCTGCCCGGCGCCCGGCCGAGGAGGGGGGGAGGCAGGAGCGCCGCCCCGCGCCGTGGGTTCTGCCCCGCCAGGCGACGCCGCCGCGCCGCGAGGTGCGCCTGCTGGCGCCGCCTTCGGCTGGGCCCGGGCGGAGGCGTGGCCCCGCGCGGACGCGCCGCTGTGGCACCCAGCGCCGCCAGGACCCTGCTTGCCCCGAATCAATCGGTACGATCGACCACTGCAGGAACCTAAACTATTGGCGCTTCGCGCGCCAGGGAGGGGGGTCCAGCGCAGATCCAAGAAGTCCGCGCGGAGCGCCAACAGTTTACGTACATGCTGCTTTTTCTTCTTCTAATGGGTGCGGAAAGGATGGGAGCTCTAGACCTCCTAGATGGGGTCCGCGTAGATGGTGTCGGAGGATCGCGCCGCATCGCCGATGCATCGGCGATCTGGCTCGATGTCGAGGCAGATCTTCTGCACGCCGACGGCGCCGACGCGTCGCCGACGTCGCCAGTGCGTGGCCGATGCATCGCCGATGCATCGCCGATGCACTGGCGATGCAGGGAGATCCTCCGACCCCAGCTGCTCGGACTCCAGCCAGGAGGAGCAGCTCCTGCCTGTCTTCAACAGGGCCCGCTGTCGGTGCCGCCGCAGGCGTTGCTCACGCGAGACAGGAGTCGAGGGAGGAGAATGATACCGGAGAACAAAAAAACAATGATAATCTTTTTAGGGCTGAGGGGCTATGGGGCTATAGGGCTATAGGGCTATAGGGCTAGAAGGCTATGGGGCTATAGGGCTATAGGGCTATAGGGCTATAGGGCTATAGGGCTATAGGGCTATAGGGCTATAGGGGTATAGGGCTATATGGTTATAGGGCTATCGGGCCATTGGGCTAAAGGGCTATAGGGGTATAGGGCTGTAAGGCTATAAGGCTATAGGGGTACAGGGCTATTTGGGCTATATGGCTATAGGGCTATATGGGTACAGGGCTAGAGGGCTATAGGGCGATAATGCTATAAGGCTGTGAGGCTATATGGCCATAGGGCTATAGGGCTACCAGGCACCCGGGCACCCGGGCACACGGGGACCCGGGCACACGGGGACCCGGGCACTCGGGCACCGGGGCACCTGGGCACCCGGGCACCGGGGCACCCTGGCACCCGGGCACCCGGGCACCCGGCCACCCGGGCGTGCTGCCGAAATTGGCGCCACAGCTGACCTAACCGTATGAATCCGCTAGGACCCCTACAGAGGCAAGCTCTGATTGGGGAAAAACCACCCCAACCCGATACTCGGCGTTCGCTAATCGGCTTTGGGCGTTTACTAGACAGTCCTGCCCTGTTCGATTCCTGCTGTGGGTGCGTTCACTAAACGGCTTCGCGTGTCGGGGTGATCTATTTATGGTGGTGGGTCTTCCGCCCTCTTCGCTGGTTGACCCGCAAGGGGGTCCAGCTACAGAGGGGTGGTGCAATAGATCTGGTGCAATGGATTTGTGGGTTGCAATCGATTTGTGGCGTGCAATACAGCCTGGGGCGCAGATGTACTGCTGGATCTTCTAATTGCAATTCAATGCAGTCCAATTCCCGAGCGCAATCCATTTGGAATACAACTGCCGCCAATCTACTGCACCACCCCCTTTCAGCTGGACCCCCCCTTTTGGGGTCAGCCCAATATGAGCAGGGCGCCTGCCCGACAGCGGCCGTTGTCGGCTCTGACGGCACCCGCCGCCGCGCATCGGGCCCACGTCGGGCGCCCGGGATCGAGGATCGAGGCGGCCCAGCTCTCGGGGCGCGGGGCCCGATGTTGGAGGAGGAGGAGGAGGAGGAGGAGGAGGAGGAGGAGTTCTCGGCGTCCTCGTCGGTTCCGCAAGGCTTTCCAGCATGGGGATGCTTTTCAACGGCCGCGCCTCGTGGAGAGCCATCCCGGGTTTCCCTGATCGCGGGGGCCTTCTGGACATCGAAAGATGGAGCCAGGACGAAAAGCTACCCCATGGGAAGGGGTCGTGGTCTCTTGAGGCCGCGCAGTGGAACAAATCATATCGTCGGACGTCTGGTAGCTTGGACATGAAGGAAGATAGTTGGGGAAATTCGGCCCTGGCGGCGCTTCTCCTGTTTAGGCATCCACATTCTATTGGGAAGGCCTTACGGCCAGTGCCGCCGACCCTGGAGGGGGACGACGACGACGCTGACGCTCTGGAGCCCTTCTTGGGGCTCGCTAGGGAGCCTATTGGGCTCTGTTGGGGGGCCTCTTGGGGGACTTCTTTGGAAGCTTCGTGGCCACTTTGAGCCGCCTCGGAGCGGATCTGAGGCCTCTTGGAGGCATGTGGAAAAAATTGCAGCACCCCGCAACAACATATAGGAGTAAGGAGGGTGCTTCCGGGGTGCCCGCAAGGGGACCAACCCCCTGTCCCCCTTGTCTACAGGGAGGGCTCAGTGGGGGACCGCACATGGATAATCAATTCGAACCCTGCAAGATGCCCCCCAGGCCCCCCTAAATTCATATTCAGGATACGACAGCGGAGAGTGTATCGGTGGGCAGAAGTGTTCGAGCCCCCAAACCACCACCCACGCTAAAATCAATATTGATTTTAGGGGCAGGGCGGCGATGAGCATTCCCCTCAAGTGTGTGAGGGTTCGAATATTCTGTCCTTGTATTGTCCATGGCAATATTTTGTTTCCTTTTGCAACATGTTCAGAAGGGTCCCGAGAATTTGTGACGTTCCGCGTGCCCCCCCGACCCATCCAGAAACGATCTCAAGGTTGGTCGCATCGATCAGGGAAGTGTCGGAGCATGCAGTCCAGGATTGCACCGCATATGTCTTCTTGGATCTTTCCAAAGGTGGAGGAGGAGGAGGGAGGAGGAGGACGAGGAGGATGAGAAGTGGGTGGAACAGTCGCAGGAGGAGGATGAGCAGGAGGGCGAATTGAAGAAAGATGGTGGATGACATTGAAGGATTTGGGGATGGAGGGATGGACGAATTGAGGAAGGAGGCATGAGCAAGGAAACATGGATGGTTCGAGGAATCGATGACGAGGGAAGGAAGACGGAGGAAGGAATAAGGATATATTGATGGGTCGAGGGATTGACGGATGCAGGAAGGAGGGGGGAGGGATGGATAGAGATGAGGGAGCAGGGCAAATGGAGCATGCATGGTGGAGGGAGGGATGGAGGGAGTAGGGACGGGAGGATGACAGAGGAAAGAGCGAGGGATGAAGTATGACGGACGAATGGATTGAGCAGGCATCAGGGATGGGTTGATGGCTGGAGGGACTGGGGCAGGGAGGGATGCAAGAGGGAGGAAAGGAGTGAGGGAGGATGGATGGGTAGAAGGATCGAGGGGTGGATGGATGAGGGATGCAGACGCGAGGCGTCAGAAGTGATGGACATATTCACGGAGGGACAGAACATAGACAGCATACTCGATCCCTCACCCGCTTGGTGGGGATGTTGAACCCCCCCCCCGCCCCCGAACTCGGTGTTGATTTTGGCGTGGGTGGTGGCCTGGGGGCTCGGGATGCTCCCGCACATGCCATGCCCCCTCCGCTGCCGCACCCTCAGATTAGCAGCTCGGGGGGACCCGGTGGGGCACCCGGCGCCGCGGGGGCCGACCCCCCCGGGGCCCCCCACTGGGCGTCGCGCACTGTGGGGGCGAGCACTGCGGGAGGCAGCGCGGGCCGGGCCCCTTTGGGGGCCCCAACGGGGGCCTGCCGGGTCCGAGGAGTGCACCCCCTCTCCCCCCCCCGCGGGTCTCGCCCCCCCCCCCCCCAACGGAGCGACCAACGCCCAGCCCCCCCTGGGACCCGCCCGGGAGCTCCCTCGCTATCCCTCCCGGGACCCCCCCCTCCAGGACCCCCCCCTCCCGAGACCCCCCCCCTCCGCTCCCCCCCCCCCTCCAGCCAGGGAAGGGAGATCCAAGGGACCCTTCGAATCCACTGCGACGTTGTTTGATCTCCGTCTGTCTAGGCCTCCCAGATGGGGTCGGAGCAGCTGGGGTCGGAGGATCGCGCCGCATCGCCGATGCATCGGCGATGCGGCTCGATGTGGAGCCCGATTTGCTTCATGTCGACGTCGGCGATGCACCGCCGACGTCGACGATTCATTGCTGGTGCATCACCGATGCATCGCCGATGCATCGCCGATGTATCGGCGATGTGGCGCGATCCTGCGACCCCATCTACTCCGACCCCATCTAGTAGGCCTCTAGTCTGGCGGGATCGCTTGACCCAGACCCCTCGTGTCATGAGACAATCACGGCGCGAGGTTTTTCGCTGTTTTCGGCCTCTTGGGGCCCTGACCGGGCCGCGGGACCGTGAAAAAACGACTCAGGATGAAGCACGGGTCCTGGGGAGTGGGTCGAGACCCCAGGGGGTCGACGTCATGACCAAATCATGACCTCGGGGGTCTGGGTCTGGCGCTGGCGGAGAAATCATCCGCCGACGTGTGAGCGCTTTCGTTGGTGCTGCGGATTCGCCATCGCGCACCCCACCCCTGGCCGATACGCGCCGTGCAAGCGCCAGCGCTGAGACATACACACGTATTTGTGTACTATATGACCAGCCTTCGGGTGATAAGGAGGTTGTGGGGGGTAGAGGCGGGGAACCAACATCTGACTCAATAGATCTCAATATCGATCTCACTCAACGGGACACCACGGGACACCACGGATCCACTACGGGACACCCAGGGACACCGCGGGACACCTCTCGATCTCACTATCGGTCTCACTATCGATCTAACTACGATCTCACTCAACGGGACGTCATAGGATACCACGGGACATCACGGGATACCTCGGGACACCACATCGATCTCAGTATCGATCTCATTATCGATCTCACTATCGATCTCATTCAACGGGACGCCACGGGACACCACAGGACTCCACGGGAAACCACGGGACACCTGTCGATCTCACTATCGATCTCACTATCGATCTCACTCAACGGGACACCACGGGACGCCATGGGACACCTCGGGAGACCACATCGATCTCAGTATCGATCTCATTATCGATCACATTATCGATCTCATTCAACGGGACGCCATGGGACACCACGGGACACCACGGGACACCTGTCGATCTCACTATCGATCTCACTATCGATCTCACTTTTTGGGACACCACAGGACGCCACGGGACACCTAGGGGCACCACATCGATCTCAGTATCGATCTCAGTATCGATCTCAGTATCGATCTCAGTATCGATCTCACTATCGATCTCACTATCGATCTCACTCAACGGGACACCACGGGACACCACGGGACACCACGGGACACCACGGGACACCGCGGGACACCGCGAGCCACCGCCGGACGGGCGGGCGGGGGAGAATCATTTGTCTTGACTTCGCCCTAGCAACGGCGGACACCACGGGACACCGCGGGACACCACTGGACACCACGGGACACCGCGGGACACCAGCGGGACACCGCGGGCCACCGTTTGACGGGAGGAGCTTCATTTGGTCTGGCCGCGGCCCAGCCACAGGAGGATTTCGGGACACCAGCGGGGCACCGGCGGGAGACCGCGCGCCACCGGCCGCCGGAGGAGAAACATTTGGTCCGGCCGCGGCCCAGCCACATGAGGATTTCCTGTCGCCCGCCCACGCAGGTTCGCCCCGCACGCACGCACGCACGGCACGCACGACACGCACAATCTCCGATATACCTGTTACATGTACAGTGCCGTTTTTAATACATGCTCCGCGTGCAGATCATGTATCAAACATGCAGGGATTTACTACTAAAAACAACGATGAGTTCATGCATAGATTTATTCATACATTGAGCATGTATTAACATCAGTGTTTTGTTATATATATATATATAATCAGATTTCTTTAAAACAACTCCCCTGTAGGTATGTGTGTATACTCCAGTTTCTATAAGAAAGGTTGGGGAGGTCACATCGGGGGGGGTCTGATTTGGGCTGTATTGAAGGGTTTCCAAGGGAGTCTGGGCAGAAGGCCGCCCTCTCATGGCCGGCCCGGGGGGGCGTTCAGCACGGCTCGTCTGGGAATGTTGTGACCACCTCCCTTTCATCAGAAATTTTGAGGAGCTGAATCAGGAGTAGGAGGAGGAGGAGTAGTAGTTGGAGGAGGAGGAGGAGGAGGAGGAGGAGGAGGAGGAGGAGGAGGGGGGGAGGAGGAGGAGGAGGAGGAGGAGGAGGAGGAGAGGAGGAGGAGGGGAGTAGTAGTTGGAAGGAGGAGGAGGAGGAGGAGGGAGGAGGGGGGAGGAGGAGGAGGAGGAGGAGAGGAGGAGGAGGAGGAGGAGAAGGAGGAGGAGGAGGAGGAGGAGGAGGAGGAGAGGAGGAGAGGAGGAGGAGGAGGAGGAGGGAGGAGGAGGGAGGAGGAGGAGGATGAGGAGAGGAGGATACGAGGAGGTATGTATGGCTATATATCTACACATACCGCTTCGTGCTGGCTCCCCGCGAGGACCCAGCGCGGGCGCCGGCATCGCGGGCGGGGCGCGGCACCGCCGAGCGTCTCTCGGCGCACCGTCGAAGGCCGAGCGAGCCATCGCGCAGCTCAGGTCAGGCGATCACAAAATTGACGAACCAACAACACACACCCATACCCATAGGGGGATCGGAGAGGGCTATGGGTACGTGTTGCCGGATGGGGGTCCCCGCTCGAACGGGAGCGTTCCCCAGGGTCCGACAACCCGCACCCATACCCAGAGCCAGTCCTCCTCCCAACGACCCCCATTATGGGTATGGGTGTGTGTTGTTCGTTCGTCAAACATGGATCCATGGGGGCGTGGATTAGTTTTTTTTCCACTCGTGGGCAGAAGCGTTCAGTCGGGCACGTCCCTCCACAGGAGGAATCTTAAAAAAGAGTCACAAAATAGTCGGTGGACCATTTTTTTTGACTATTCTTTTGAACATGGGGTATTTGTGGATTATTTTCATTGTTTCGCCCAAAATCCCCCTGTAGGGGGACGTGCCCGACTTAAGATTAGCTTTTTTTTCACTCGTGGGCAGAAGTAGCAGCCCTCGGACGTGGCCAGCGCCAGCCTGTGTAGCTGAGGCCCTGCTGGCCCTCTGTATCGCATGTTTTGCATGGATCGCGCCAGATCCATGGATCGCATGTTTGCGCGCCCCCGATCAGGCAGCTGCTCGACTTCTACTTCGAGCCGTTCAACCTCCAGTCGGCGGCGCGCCCGGGGGGGGAGCAGGTCGGGGGCGATGCTGCGGGCGTTCGCGGTTCGAGGCGCTCTGGCGCTGTCGTAGGCGCTCGTCGGTTTTGCAGCCTCGGCTGCGTTCGTTCGAGGTTCGAGGTTTTTTGGCGCCATCGCAGGTTCTCGTCGGATTTCCAGCCTCGGGGTGCTTTTCAGCGGCAGCGCCTCGCCGAGAGCGTTCTGGGGGTGCCTAGATCGTCCCGAAGGGCCGCCGGAGGCTAGAATTATCGCCCGAAAGCCATTGTGAGGATCAGGGACAACGATGGGGGGGGGGATGTGCATTGATCGCCGATAGGGGCCTGATATCCCCAACCTGCCCAGGAAGGTCCAGATTCATGATCGAAGGCCTATCGCCGATGTGTCGGCGATGTATCGCCGAGGCCAGGTCGGCGCATCCCGCTCTATGCCAGTCCACCCCTATCGCTGCCCCTCAGTATGGCTCATTTCGAGTCCTCCGACTCGACTCGACTCGCTTTCGATCGTTTCCTATTCCGATTCGACGTCGGGTTCCGACTAGGATTCCGGGTTCTCGGTGGAGGCCTTGCCAGCCTGCCAATTTTCCACCGACTCGGCTTCTCCGGGCTTGGCTGCCGATTTCCGCTGGTCCGATTCGTTTCGATCGCCGATCCGACTCATCGATGCAATTCGGGGTCCGGGGAAGTGAGAGGGGGCAAGCTTCTCGGAAGGCGGCGGGGCTTCTCAGACCCTGAGATCCGACGCATCGAACAAAAGTTGCAACATCGTGAACGATCACGCCCGGAGCCCTGGATCCCACCTTTCTGCGCCATCTCTCGAGCCCGATCGATCTCTGAGGGCCCCCGGGCCCGAAGGCAGAGTCGAAGACGCCCGGCTCGAACAAGAAGGAGACGCCAGGACTTGAAGGGGAAGCCCTCGCGCCCCCCGAGAAGCCTCCAGAGGCAGAGGCGGCCTCTCCGAGGGCCCGAGGAGGGCTCCTCCGAGCGGCTCCCGCGTCGCCCTCCCAGAGGAGGGCCGGCTCCCCCCCCCCCCCCTCGCTTCCCTCAGGAGGAGCAAAAACACACAGACACAATTCATCGTCGACCCTCAGACAATATGGGAGAATGTGGGAAGTGGCGGGGAAGACAAAGACCCAGAACATATGGGAAAATATATGGGCAATCTTTTTATTTGTGTGTGTATTTATTCCCCATATCCTAAGATGGGGTTCTTGTTATTACTTGGACGCCTACTACTCCTTCTCCTTCCTCCTCCTCTTTTCTCCTCCCCTCCTGTCGGGCTTACTCATACTCAGACTTGCTCATACACAGACTTACTCATACTCAGACTTACTCATACTCAGACCTACTCATACTCAGACTTACTCACACTCAGACATACTCATACACAGACTTACTCATACACAGACTTACTCACACCCAGACGTACTCATACACAGACTCACTCATACCCAGACTTACTCATACACAGTATTAGTCATACTCAGACTTACTCATACCCAGACGTACACATACACAGACTTTCTCATACACAGACCTACTACCCACTTACCCAGACTTACTCATACACAGACATACTCAGCATACACAGACTGTATCCTTCGCTTTCGGAGCAGATTTGGAGGATCGAGCGATCATTTCAGCACCCCTAAGGGGAGCCGCCAGGGGTGGTTGCACGGGCTCGTTCGCGGCCATTTTGTGGGGATGTCTCAGGCGGTTTGCCTGTTTCTGTGCCCAACATCCTTCGCTTTCGGAGCAGATTTGGAGGATGTCTCGAGCGAGGCGCTAATTTTCACCCCCCAGGTGGGCCAGATTTTGAGGATGTCTCGATCGGTTTGCCTGTTTTGGTGGCCAGGCTCGTGGGCGCAGATGCTTCTCAGGATGCCACAGGAGGCTCCAACAGGCTCCAGGAGGCCCCAGGAGACCACATGAGGTCCCAGGAGGCATCAGGAGGCCACAGAAAGTCTCAAGAGGCCACAGGATGTCCCAAGAGGCTCCAGGAGGCCCCAGGAAGCTCCAGAAGGCCTCAGGAAACCACAGGAGGCCCCAGGAGGCAACAGGAAGCGCCAGGAGGCCTCGGAAGGCAACAGGAGGCCCCGAGAGGCCCCAGGAGCAGGAGGCCTCAGAAGGCAACAGGAGTGGCTCCAATCCCATGTGTTTTACGTATGCTCCTATCGATTGGGCCTCACCTGGAGCACGATTCTTTGATGTTCTACGTATGTTTCTATATATTGTCCTTCTCCTGTGTAAGCAATCCTACTTGTTTTACTTTTGTTCCTATATATTGGGCCTCTCCTGGGGCACGAGTCCTTGGTGTTTTACGTGTGTTCCTGTAGACCCATATACAATATTACCTTTAAAAAAGGATGCACATATGGGGAGCTCCACGCAGTGAGTAATTTGTGTCCCTGGGCCCCCTCGCTTCCCCTCCCCCCTCCGCGCGCCGCCGGTCCAGCACAACCGCTACCTTCTGGACCTGATTGCCAGGACTCGGGCGGGGGGCCGGGAGCCCAGACCCCCTCCCTCCCCCTCCTCCTCCTCCTCCTCCTCCTCCTCCTGCCTCCTCCTCCTCCTCCTCCTCCTCCTCCCTCCTCGTCCTCCCCCTCGTCCCTCCCCCTCCTCCTCCTCCTCCTCCCCTCTCCTCATCTCCTCCCGTCCTCCCCCTCCTCCTCCTCCTCCCTCCTCCTCCTCCTCTCCTCCTCCTCGTCCTCCTTCTCTTCCTCCCTCCTCCTCCTCCTCCTCTTCCTCCTCCTCCTCCTCCTCCTCCTCCTCCTCCTCCTCCTCCTGGAGTCGTGGAAAGGTCACGGCGCGAGGGTTCTCACTGTCTTCGGCCTCTGGGGGCCCTCGCCGGGCCGCGGGGGCGTCAAGGAGGACTGGGCGACAAGCTGGTCCTGGGGAAGTGGTCCAGACCTCCGGGGCCCAGGCATCGAAAGAGCTGGAGCGGCTGGCCGTCTGGAGAGCGCTCCGGAACGCTCTCTGAGAAGGCGGCGGCGCCCGAGGCATCCTCCAGAGCCGCCGGATCTCAGAGGTTCTCGATTTGTCCCCACAAGATGCTATCCTCAGAGGAGGGGAGGAGGAGGGGGGGGAGGAGGGGTGGAGGAAGGGGGGTAGGAGGAGGAGGAGGGGGAGGGAGGAGGAGGGGGAGGGGTCCTGGCTTCGTCTTCAGGACCATGGGGGCGCCGCGCAAGGCGGGGCCCTGGCTCGCCGAGACCCTGGAGGAGTTCAGCTTCGGGTTCGAGGACCTCGTGGGCCTGGGGCGCATCTCCTCCGCGCTCGCGCGGACGAAGGTCTCGAGGTTCGACGCGCTGGCCCCGCTGAAGCACCTGCGCCGCGGCCCGGACGGCCGCCTGCGGCTGGCGCATCCGCCAGAGGCCGGCGGCGCGCCCAGGGGGGGCGGCGCGCGACGGCGGCGGCGGCGGCGCCTCTCTGCAGAGGGCGGCGGCGGGCTCCCTCGAAGAAGCTGGGAGGCCTCCGGCCCCCGCCGTGCCAGAAGCCCCCCCCCCCCGCCCGCCCTCGCCGGGGGCCGCGCCGCCCCCCTCTCGCGCTCGCTTCGGGAGAGGTCCGGAGCCTGGTGGCGGCGTCCGACGCGCTGCCGGCCTCCGTGGACATGGCCGCGCGGTGGCTCATCGCGGTGCGCGAGGACCGGGGCCAGGCCACCGCCGGGGTCATGAGCGTGCTCTCCCTCGCGCTCACCGAGGCGCTCGGGCGGAGGGAGTGAGCGTCGGAGCGCGGCGCGAGCATCACCCCCCGGGGGGCCGCGCGGGTCCCTCGGGCCCTCCCCGGCGGCGTCTCTGGTGCACGCTGTGCGCGCTCGCACGGCGCGGCGGCCGGTCCAAGAAGTCCCGCGCGGGCCTGCGGGCGTTCCTACCCGTGCCGCCTCGTGCTGTCCTGCGAGAGGGGGCGGGTTGGCCTCGGACACGTGGGGGCCTCTGGCTCGTGGGGCCCACGCTTTCGGGACCCAGGGGCCCACGCTTTCGGGACCCAGGGGAGGGGGCGGGTTGGGGGGGGGCGTAC